AAAAAAAAAAAAAAAAATTCAACCTAAAAAAGCTCCCAAATAACAAAAGCTCTTTGAGGTTCTCAGTATGACTTGAGTAAAAGTGGATCCTTGAATTAAAAAAAATTGAGAACTGCTTGCAAGGTGTTAAAAATGTGTTAAAATTAGTGTTATAAGTTCTTAGCTGAGGGTGAACTTGCATGAATACCTGAGCTTCTAAGCCTGGGTATCCTGAGTTGGATGACAGGAGTCTGGATGTGTGTTTCTGATTACAAAAAAATGACAACAAAATGAATGTTTTTGAGGCAGGATCTCCCTAAGTTGCCTTGGCTGCCCTTCAGTTTGTGGTATTTCTGTCTCAGCCTCCAAGTAGCTGTAATCTCCCTACGCAGAAGGCTGAAGCGAGAGGACTTCTAGTTTGGAGCCAGTGTGATCAACATAGCAAGATACTCATCCCAAAAATAAAAAAAAAAAAAGGAAATTAAAAAAGAAAGAAAAATGCTGTTTAGTAGCTGAGTGGGCTGCAGGTGTAGCTCAGTGGTAGAGCGCTTAACTATTACCTTTTGGGGGTGGATTTAGTTTTTTAAAAAAATTGCCATAATTCACATATAGTTTACCCCCGTACAGAGGTTTATACTTGAGTGGTTTTTAGTATATTCATAAATTTGTGCAACTTGGAATTGTGGGACATTTTTTCTTGCCTATGAAAGGACCTCTGTCCATTTAACATTCCCCATTCCCCCTTCCAGTGGTGATTACTAACCTACTGTCTGTCTCTGGATTTGTCTATTCTGGATGTTTATATAAAAGGGATAATTTCTGTCCTATTTATATGAAATTGTTTTGATAATTATGAACTGTCCTGATTGTGGCCATTGCAGCTGGTGTGAAGCAGAGGCATTTCAGCGAGGCCGGCTGAACTTACTTGAGGTGGTGTCCCGTAAGATTGTAACGGAGCTGGGCCTCTCCCTAGGCATTTATCTCTTCTGTGTTTAGACACAGTACTGTGTTAGAATTACTGACACTGTCGGTGACATGCGTCTAGCCTGCGAGCAGTAGGCCACTGTGTATGGCCCAGATGTGTAGTGGGCTGTGCCATCTAGGCTTGTAAAAGTACACTCTGTGATGTTGACACTACCGTGAAAGCACAGTTTTCTTTTTTATTCTAATTAGATTTCATTGGTAATTTTAGATATACATAAGGATCAAATTCGTCATAGAGCACTTTTCAGTGTATCCAAGCAGTTAATGAGTATAAGCTCATTGTGGCTTTGATTTGCATTTTCATTCTTTTTTTTGTTTTTTTTTGGTACCGGAAATCGAACTCAGGACCTTGGGTTTGTCAGGCAGGCGTGATTCCACTGAGCTATATCCCCACCCTGATTTGCATTTTGTTGCGTCTGATACTAAATATCTTTAACTTACTGGCCATGTGTATATGTTTTTGGAGAACTGTCCATTCAAATCCTTTGTTTAATTGGGTT